ATTCTTTATGATTATCTGCAAAGTGCTGTTATTTCTTGGCAGATGAATTCATGTGAATTTGCTGCAAGAGAACTTTTGAAAAATAGAAATCTGGAATATTGTTGCATTATGATATTTCTTTCTCAGTAGATACTTGCATTGGTTGATTGGTTGGTGGTTATTATTCAGAATCGGTTTGTAAAGCTGTGCTCTGCTTCTTCTCAAAAAGAAGGCAATCCATTGCACAATATGAGAAGTAAATAGTAACTTCATTGAATGTGGACTGTAATCATGGAATTGAAAACCGATTCTGATTTCCATGATGATATTGAGCTAGTGTTAACAGAGCTGCAGTGGCTTTTAGATTGTTTCCTAGCACCATTCAGGAAGCTGATCTGACTTTCAAAGCTTTAACTTGTGCCCACCAGTTATGTTGGGCACAATTCCTAGGCAGTCTTTGATCATATAGTTCAATGTTTCTGGAAAGCACCAGAAGGGAGAAGACAGATATAGAAGAGTACATTTGTCTTATACTCACCTAACATTTGGTGAAGATCATCTTTTGAACTCTTTCTTCATATATCTGTTTGCAGAGGTTAGATGACTGCCAGATGTTCCAGTTATGTTGGAACGTCATTTTTGGGCAGGTGTAGAGATGGGGAACTTTGCCGCTGAACTACAGTTTCCAACGTATCTGCCATCACAGTTAATAATGAAGAATGCTGGTTTCTGTAGTTCAGAATATCTGGGGAGCCACTGGTTCTTCACCCCTATTCTAATATTTTATTGCTGCCTTTTGGGCAACAAAGACGTTCTCAAAAGTATTTAAGTTTCTTTAAAAAAACACCTTGTAGCTATTTCAATTTGTTTTCTTTTGTTGCTTTATTATTGTTATGCTATTTAGGTTTTTATTTGGATTTGTTTTGTAAGCTAACTTCAGGGCTTTATCAGGGGGTAAATTCATCAATTGAAATATTGTAGTATTTTAATGATTTTACACTTATTGCAACTGTAGTTTGTAAGCTACTCTGAGAATCTTTTCAGGGGTAAAGAAAACCAACCAACCAGAAATTAAATTGACAAGGACTGACTCCAAATGACTATCAGTCTTTCCCTTTCCTTTAAGGGCCCTCCCAATACTTGTGAGGCCAAGACTGTTTTATTTTCTATGGCAGTTGCTGCTGCAGGAAGAAGAAAGAACTAAAAGTTGCAGGTTTGGGGCACAACTAAGGCTGGTAGAATGGATGGCAACTAACTCTCCCCCAATAGGTATTGGACTGATTTTTACACTATCTTATTTCAGGCCACAGTTGAAGATATGCCTGTTCATCCAGGTATTTATGGGAATACTATCTTAGGATCAGAATAGTTTATCTGTTATTTAATTTGCTTTGCAAGCAAACCTTTTTTGTTTTTGTGGGTTTGTCATTTATTGTTTTCTCAACACCATTATTACATAGTCCATTATATTACGTAGAGATTTATTTTTTAACTATATAACTTAATGATGTTGTGTTCACTCTTTTCCCTCCCTCCTTTCTTGTTTTTACAGTCACCTGAAAAAAGAAAGTGACAAGCCCCTTTAAATGGACCCCATTCCCCACAATGATGTCATTATCCTTTGTTGCTACTTCTTCTTGGAGAGGAAAATCAACTCATCAAACTCTGGATGAGGGAGAAGCTACCTAGTGACACAATTTCCTAAATCATTCAACAAATCCAAACAACTGTGGTGGGAGGGAGAAGGGTTAGTACAAGGGAAAATATGAAAGATCAAAAAAGGATTTTGGACAAATGGCTCGACATTCCCTTGTTTCAGTAAGAAAAGGTATGAATTATCATGCATTCCTTTTCTCCCTGCCATGTCCCTCCACCACCACTCTCTAGCCCTAAGGTGGATGTCACTAAAAGCATAATGGGGCTAAATGGGGCCTCCCTTTTTTGTACCTTGACAACTAGATGGTTTTGAGGAACATTGCATTGTCAGACTTTCAAGAAGGCATTATCACGTTCCTCTTCAACCCTTGAAAGACTGGGCCAAGTTAAGAGGTGCATAGCACCACAAGATGGTTTCAAGAGAGCAGCTGCCTTTTTATCCATGCCTTGAGGGAACTTTGATGATTCTGGAAAATACTGTGGAACAACAGCAGTGTGTTTCCCTCTCATTTCATTAGTGAGGGAGATTAATATGGCCACACAGTGCAAAGCATGGTTGAAATTGTCTCTGATGGCAACTGCTCCTTTTCCCTTCACCCATTCCAGTCGATGTACTCATGCACATCCCGTTAGACGTGGCAGTTTTGCGTAGCAATTTGTGAATCCTTGATCTCCCCATGTGTGTGTCTTAATTCCACAGTTGTATATCTTGATCTGTCCTCATATATATATATTTACATAAGAACATTAAAAGAAAGTCAATTATGGGAGAAGAATCTCCCTACACAACCAGTTCCACCCAGCACACACATGGGTGTGCAGATGCACGCGCGCGAACACACACACACAACTAATTTATATATAAATGCAGCTCTTAAAGAACAAAACCAGCCAAGTAGCCAAAAAAAAAAAAAAGCCTTCCAAAATGTTTTAATGTTTGCTTTTTCTGCATGCCATGGGGCTATTATTATCAAGTAATCAAGATTTTAAAATTACATTCCCTGCTAGTTTATTGCAAAGCAGGGAAATGAAAAAAGATACCTTGAAAACAGGATTTATTATTCTCTGCTGGAGTGGAATATAATATCTTTTCCCACTATTTTTGCAGCTCCGTAGGGTCCTTGTGTTGGCAATTGCATGGAGTTATTGAAATTAGCACCTTGGATAATTGCAACACCTTGTGAGTTTATCAAGGATTCATTCTCTTCAGTCTGTATAGTAGAGAAATGCACATATGAGAGCATGACTTGGTCAGCTGTACGCAGGTTTGACTTGTGGGCTCCTGTTCATGGCATCCTGAGCATTGATTTATGTGGATGGGACACTCTTCCATCATGTAGAAAAATCCTTGCCCTGGTGACGGAATGAAGCACCAGAAATGATAAATAGGAATTACTAGCTCCCCTCTTCCCCCAATAGTACCTTTTAACAACCATATCCCCAACAATGAGATTTGTGAATTACTGATCACTTTAGCATGGTCTTTAAGTTGGTAATGAAAAATCAGCAAGAATTGGGGAAAGACAGTGGCACTGGACATTTTCTCGGCTGCTAGCAGAGAAAAAGGGCACGAGATTAAAGGGATGAGGCCATACTTAATTACCTTTAATCTCAGAATGTCTTTAAGATGCTTGGCCCGAATCACATTCTTTGGAATGCAAGTAGCTTTTGTTGAAGATGTACTTCCTCCCTAGTTTAAAGACGCGCTTTATTAGCAGGCCTGAGCTAGGAGAATATGTCAAAGGTCCTTCAAGTGGAGTAAGTATGCAACTGCGAGTGGGCACAATTGCCCACAAGTGGCAAACTGATAAAGGCATCTCTGGGCAAAGCAAGAGATGGCATGAAATCAACCTGATACTTTGTGCCACCTGCCTTCATAGGGCAGGTCCTCGGGCTTAGAGGATTAGACACTGAAGAAACGGGGCGTGTATATAAAACTGCACACACTACAGCATACTTGTATAGAAATTCCCTAGCGTGAAGAGCCCATTCAAAAACCTCAACCTAGATCCCCAAAAATGATTTCGCTGTTTTCCCATCCTTTCTCCGCTTCGCTTGACTTAAGACACCAAAAAAGGGGAACGATATGGCCGGAGCAGCTCGGCTTCCTCACGGGAAAAGCCGAACTGCAACTCCTTCCGGCCGTTTCAAAGTTCGGAACCCCTTTTCCGGCTCTCGCTTTCCCCCCCGTTTCGTCATTGGCAGGGCGCGGTCTTAAAACTCTGGCCAATAAAAAGCGATCTCTTTAGCATACGGCTTTTACCGTGCCCAAAGCTTAAATTTTAAGGAATAAATACATAATTCCCGCAGGAAATACGGTGGGGCCTTCTTTTTTTATATAATTGCTTTTATACTGCCAGCGATGGGATAGAATGCGCATTCATATTTTATTCACCAACACCTGAAACGTGTTCTATTCTCCGTGGGTGAATGCCGCGCGCCCTTCCATCTCAGTGACTTCAGCTCTTTTTGTATTTGTCTAGAAGGCTTTCTGCTGTGGCGGAGAGCCTCCCAAATTTCGTCAAAGTAAGATATGTATCTATGTAAGAAATTAAAAGGCTGCGAAGTGCTTTTTGCTGTCAGCTTTTCTTTGTCCCGGCTGGGCCCCCGCAAAGAATTTGAGTCTGCTTTCCAAAGGAGCTGTTGGCGATCTGTTCGGTTTCCTAGGCAGCGCGAAAGGGCTGCGCTTCGTTGTTACGTGGACGGTGGATCTGCTCGGAATTGCAGTGCCGTAGAAGGGGAAGTAGGTTAACGCTCTCGTGGGCAGCCGCTTCCGATTGATGCCAAGAAAAGGGACGGAAGTGTCGATCTCGACTCGAAGGTGACGACTTGGAAGCTGCAATATTGATGAGGTCAAAGCAGAAGTAATTATTTTTGGTGTAGCAGTTTAATTATCTGTACAATAGCCTTGCATAATAGGCCTAATGCAATTTGCCTCCGTTTAAAAAAAAAAAAAAAACTACCAGGAGTCCTAAACGTAATTTTATGAATAACGCGTACAAAGAATTTCCTAATTTATAATCCATTACAATGCTACAGCCCACCCGTTTATTCGGGGGTGTTTTCGCAATAACCAGACTAAAGGGAAGTGGCTTATTTTATGCAAACTCGAGCAACCGGATTACTTCCACAGAGCCCACGAGATGATAATGCAGTGTGTTGTGTGTAAATACAGCCCAAGAAAGGCCAACCAGCCGACCATCTCCTGTTCGGATCCAGCCGTAGGAGCCGAGCTTCCTTCGGCGAGTGGAGACAGCAAAGCCGAGCGCGTCGGCCTCCCGTCTGCTTTGCAGCCCGGAAATGGGAAAGCGGAGAGGCGGGTTCCTAAGCCTAGGAGAGGAGGGTCCTGGAGGGCTGCCGAGTCTCTTTGCAAGACAAGGGCGAGGAGGAGGAGGAGGAGGAGGAGGAGGACGGGGTGCCTCTCTCTGCCGGCCTCCGCTGGAGCAGCAGCACTTGCCAGCCGGCAGCGCGAAAGGAGGGCGCCGCCCGTCCCGCCGTTAAAGCCTCTGCTTCTCTTTCCCCGCAACATCGGCTCACCGCATGTCAAGTCTGCAGCGCCCCCCGGCTGCTTCGGCTCAGGCCCCGCCGGTTTCCTTAAGTGCGGAGCAGGCCAAAGGTGAGGCGGCAACTCGGAGCAGGTTTCGAGGGAACGTGAGCATGCAAAGGGGCTGCAGGGAGACCTGGTGATGCAACAGCAGGGGGGGCTTTCCTGCCTGGCGACAGAGCTTTGTTCTCCTCCAAAACACCGTCTCCTTCCCCCCCCCCCCCCCCCCCCCCCCCCCCCCAAAACCTCTGGCCCAGGTTTTTCTGCCTCTGTCCTTTCTGCCTCGGTGCTCGGGGGGCGCTGCATCCTGGTCCCGGTCAAACGGCAAGAGAGAAGAGGGCCCTGCCAATCAGAAATACAGCAGGCAAGCTAAGGAGGCGGATGGAAAATTTATTTATTTGTGGGTTTTTTTTGTTTACTTATTTATTAGTTTGTCAGACATGTACAGGATGAATATAAACATGGACGTGAACATGAACGAGGGAAATGAATACAAATAAAGGGGGACAGTAGGACGGACGGTGAACACGCTGGTGCGCTTGTGCAAGCCCCCTTTACGGACCTCTTAGGAATGGGATCCACAGTAGATCGTGGGGGTCCATCATACTGTCAAAGGAGATTTGCGTGACAATAAAAGGGAATGATTTCATTGGAAGTTGGGCAAGAGATATAGGCCATTTCAATACTTAAGGTTTAAATCTAGAAATCAGGGGTTCTAGTTTTGAGTAGCACAACTCCCCCCTGTGTGGCTTGTGCAGAGAAAGAGAGGATCAGAGTCTTGAGCTCTTCCTCTGCCTGTAATCAGGTTTTTAAAAATTGTGATCCTCCAGGACCCACATCCTGGAGTTCTGCCTACAGTCTGAGAAATAGCTGATTGCCAGCTACATTTTTCCAAAGGAATTATAGAACCTTTTTTCTTCCTTTCAAAAACGAGTTTGTGAGATAACTGTTTCTGCTTGAATTAAAGGAGAGTATTTTTAGTGAACAATCAACCAGGATTTTTGGTCCTAAAGATCTTTTATAAATTTGTCTTTCCATCGCTCTCACATTTATATAGCTGTCTATCTTGCATAGTGACTCTGAGCTTCATAGTGAAGCTTAGAATACTCAACCTATTATTATTTGCATGTAACAATTGACCTTGTTGCTAGGCCTGGACAGGACGGATTAAAGTCTTGTTTTAAGACTTAAGGAGGATGATGGAAGGATACATTATCTCTTTAGCTGCACATTTTTGAAAATAGTTAGGTTTTTTTTTTTTTAGAAAAGTGAAAACAGAACTTTTTTTAATGTCTTCATCATTTTGGCCCACCCCACAAGGTATTTTCTGTGAACCACATTATGGCCAATTTCCTCCCAATAATCTATAGCAGTGATGGCTAACTTTTGCACACGTGTGTGTCCACACCCATAATGCAATGCCCCCATGCCCTGCCCCCCTGTGAATATGCGCATGACCCCCCACCCTCCCCCCCCCCCCCGCCCCAAGGGGTGTGCCCCCCCCCCCCCCGCCCTGTTTTTGGTCCCAGGAGGCTTCAGGGAGGCCTGCTAGGCCCAAAATGGGGTGTGGGGTGGATGCCGGACCGCACCCCTGCACAGCCCACTTTTGGTCCCAGGAGGCTTCAGGGAGGTCTGCTAGGCCCAAAATGGGGCAGGGAAGGCGCGCTGCAGCCCCTGCGGCCTGTTTTGGACCTAGTAGGCCTCCCTGAAGCCTCCTGGGGCCAAAAATGGGGCGCAGGAGGGGCACGCTACAGACCCCTGCCCCCGCGCATGTGTGTGCGACCCCCTGCACATGCTCACACATCTTCCGCATGCAGGGCAGATCCCCCAAAATCAGCTGGCCAGTGGGAGGCGTATGCGCGGTGGAGCTGACCTAGGGCGACGGCTCGTGTGCCTGCAGAGATGGCTCCGCATGCCATAGGTTCGCCATCACAGATCTAGAGCATCTTCTAGATTCCCCAGCAATGCTTGTCCTTAATACTGTACTGTGATATTGGCACAATAGGGGCAGGATACTAGCTGGATGCTTAGCACATGCTTCAAGGAGAAAATGACCTGTAAGGTAGGTGGACTCCAACTCCCAGAATTCCCCAATCAGCATCCTGTCTGGGGAATTCTGGAAGTTGAAGTCCAAATATCTTAAAAGTTCCTAAGTTTGAACACTGCTTTAGACCATCCCTGGCTGTCTCAAGTTGACTGTTTGCTCAAAGGAGAATGAAATGCAAAGGCAATTTCATTCAAATACAATTCAAGTATTGTACTTCTTAGGGAGAGAAACAAGCTGCTTTTACAAAGGTTCACAGACTTCAACTGGTGGGAATTGTAATACAGTACAACATTTTTTTTCCTTTTTAGTGGTTTTGGCGGAAGTGATCAAGGCATTTGGATCTCCGGAAAATGCTCAGCGCCTGGAGGAAGCCAGGGACAATGCCTGCAATGACATGGGGAAGATGCTTCAGTTCCTGCTTCCTGTGGCTACCCAGATACAACAGGATGTGATCAAAGCTTATGGTTTCAGTAATGATGGGGAAGGTAAGTTCGTGACTGAATTAATTGGCAGCAGCAGGGAGAGGCTGATTTAGCTGTTGTGCCTGGTTGGTTATCTAGCACACCCAATGATCTGAGCCAGGGAAGGGAACCTTTATTTATATTTATCAAATTTAGAACCTGCTCATCTCTCTCACAGAGAGACTCTGGGTTGTATACAAATACATACATACATACACACACACACCACAGACTCATTTTTTTGTACCCCTGGACCAGGGTTGAAATTCAGCAGGTTCTGATATGTTCTGGAGAACCGGTAGCGGAAATTTTGAGTAGTTCGGAGAACTGGCAAATACCACCCCTAGAGTGGGGAGGTATTTTGTAGTATCCTTCCCCTGCCATGCCCTCTAAGCCACGCCCACAGAACCAGTAGGGAAAAATTTTGAATTTCCTCCCTGCACTGGACTCTCCATGATCAAGTCAAGAAAATTAGTAGCAAAAGGGGAAGAAAGCGTTTCCATTTTTTCTTTTCATGAATGAAAAAGATAATATATCCATGATAGGGAAAATTAATGTAGCTCTTGAAGAAAGTTACCCATCCTGGATTGTATTACACAGTCCACAGAGAAGCGGTATGGTATAAGAATTGTCTTAACAATACTGTTTTTTTTTCCTTTTCTAGGAGTCTTAAAGTTTGCCAGATTAATAAAATCATACGAGTCTCAGGATCCTGAAATTGCAAGCATGTCTGGGAAGCTGAAGTCTATGTTTCTGCCTCCAATGACTCTACCTCCCCATGGAGCTGGGGCAGGAGGTGCAGTTGCCACATCATGAAGCAGGCAGCCTGTGGTGGGATCTGTATTATTTTTTTTGTTTCCACATCAGTCTTAACTTGGCTGGAACTTGGGCATTGTTTTCTTTCGTTATCATGGAAGAGGTGTTTTGACTTTTTTCTATAGTCCTTAATATTTTTTTGTGCTTATGAATAAAAACTTCTTGTAAATATGCCCCGTCATATTTCTGACTCAGTTTCTGTGCCAGCTTTTTCAAGTTCTGCTTACTAAAATATATTTGAATGAATGTCGGATCTTAAGTCTATTCACTCGTATTTCATAGTAGCATTTTATTTAAACATTTTATCATTCTAGTTAGAAAGCTAATTGCCAGGCTGGGCAGGTAGAAAATTTTTAAAAATCTTCTGTAAAAAACACAGGCTAACAATTTCTCTTTGCAAATTTATTGGTAAGTGTACTCTCATGCCCACCTCTCACAGTTTTTTTTTTTATAAAGTAATCATCAGAAGAAGTAATGTTCTGTAATCACCTTGAGCTCCAGGAGGAAAGAACAGAGAGCAAGTCTGGTGTTGTGGTGAAGGTGGTGGCCTAGAAACCAGCAGATTCTGTGTTCTAGCCCTGCCTTAGGCATGAAATCTGGCTGGGTGTCTTGGGGCTAGTCACTCGCTCAGCCCAACTCTCTTCAGGGCTGTTCTTGAGGGGGAAAGAGGAGGAGGAAGTATTATATGTTTGCTGCCTTAACTTACTTATAAAGTAATAAAGGTAGGATTTAAAAAATTAATAAACCCAATCAATACCTTGGTCTATAAGTAGAAAGTTTGAAAGGGGGAGGGAGGGAGGAGGAAAGAGTAACTGAATTTGTTTCAGATGGGTCTCTCTCAGAGAGTCAATTGGTCAGCAGTTGTTCTGGAGAAAGAATTTTGAAATTACCTCTTTTTCATTTTTGTTTTGTTTTTAATAATAAGCTTCTTTGCTGGGGTTTGTACCCTGAACAGAGATATTTTAATTGCAATAAATAATAAGGCACCAGGCTAGAAACTCTGGGTGACCATGGTGGTAGTCCCACCTAAACCATGAAAACAGGTGGGCCATTCATTCTTTCTTATCCCTGGGAAGAAGGCAACAGCATACTACTTCTGAAATCTTGTCAAGAAAATTAAAGGGGCTAGTCCAGGCAGTTGCTAGGAGTCAACATTGAATCCAAGGGACCAAAAAAAGATCTTTGTATAACACTATTTCTTTATACGCCAGTTGCGCCCCTTTCTGGATCGGGAGTCCTTGTGCACGGTCACTCATGCCCTCGTCACGTCACGCCTGGACTACTGCAACGCTCTCTACATGGGGCTCCCCTTGAGGAGCACCCGGAGGCTCCAGCTGGTGCAGAATGCGGCCGCGCGGGTAATTATGGGAGCGACGTGGCGCTCCCATGTAACACCTCTCCTGCGAGCGAGCTGCATTGGCTCCCAGTGGTCTTCCGGGTGCGCTTTAAGGTATTGGTTCTCATCTTTAAAGCGCTCCATGGCTTAGGGCCAGGATATTTGCGAGACCGCCTGCTGCTACTGATAACCTCCCACCGGCCAATACGCTCTCACAGAGAGGGCCTCCTCAGGGTGCCGTCGGTCAGGCAATGTTGGCTGGCAGCCCCCAGGGGGAGAGCCTTCTCTGTGGGGGCACCCGCCCTGTGGAATGAGCTGCCTCCTGGAATACGACTGATCCCGGACCTCCAGACCTTCCGTAAGGCCCTGAAGACTTATTTATTTCACCAAGCTGGCCTAGCCTAAATGGTTCTTAATTGGGATTTTTAAAATTTTATAGACTTGGGGGTTTTAAATTGGGAAGCCAATGATTTAATTCTTCTTAATTATCTTAACTTTTGTATTGTATGTATTTTTAATTTTGGCTGTTCACCGCCCTGAGTCCCTTCTGGGAGAAGGGCGGTATACAAATTAAATTAATAAATAATAAATAAATAAAATACAGCTGCATCAGCTACTGCTGAAGCAAATGCTTGGAAGTAGCCATGAATCTTGAGATCACAGGATTGGAGACTCATTTTCACTGCCAAGATGATACTAACCTTGCTGGATGAGTAGACAATAGGGCAGCCAGGGATGCTTGTTATTGCATCATTAAACATTCACATGTAAAAATGCAGGTGAAGAAGGGCTGGGTAGCCAGTGAAGGTGTATTCACACTGAGAAAAAGACAATGGAGAGGATTACATTTACCACAGCCATTGACCTAAGCAGACTAAGAAACACCCCACCCACCCACCCCCGACTCCAGAGAGTGAGCAAAATAAAAACCCATCACCACTGTAATGGTTGGCTTAATTGTCTTATACAATCAACCAACCAGATGCTGGAGGATAACAGTATCACTGTCCCTACTGATAATTTTAAAAACAATGTTCTCAGCCTTGGCAACTTTAAGATGCTTAGGCTTCTCTCCCAGAATTCCCCAGCCAGCGTTCTGAGAGGGATGTTGCTTAGAGAGAATAGTCACTGTTCATGTTCATTGAGTGGGAGTGCCAGGATGGTGGCTGCAACTGTGCAATTGAAGCCCTACCTTTGGGGGGGGGGGGGTGCTGTCATGTGTGTAGAAAAGATGCAGCTTTAGTGCACTGTCACAATTTGACTTTTTTGGGCCCTATGTAGTTAGATATCCCTGATTGCTCAGATCCCTTCTAAAACTGTCCAACCTGGTAATCATTACTATATAATTGATATTGTTTAGCCACAATTTATTCAATAAGCCACAATTGGGTGAGTTTATAAATAAACAAATTTTAGTCACACATCAAGAACCTTGGTAGCGCAGCAGACTAAAGCACTGTTAAGTAACACCAGCTGCCTGCAATTACTGCAAGTTCAAATCTCACCAGGCTCAAGGTTGACTCAGCCTTCCATCCTTTTGAGGTAGGTAAAATGAGGACCCGGTTTGTGGGGGCAATAAGCTGACTTTGTATAAAATAGAACACCGCTTAGTGGGGGGGGGGCAAAAAGCCTTACTAAGCAGGTATATACAAAAGTATGAAGGCTATTGCTTAACGCATTGTAAGCCGCCCTGAGTCTCCGGAAAAGGGCGGCATATAAATCAAACCAATAAATAAATAAATAAATAGTCATAAAACATGGAAGGTGGAATGAAAACCACAGTCAGATTATGTTTTCTCATGATGTCTAAATTCATAGTGAATCCATATATATAAAAGCGAAATACCACTCATGTATCATCACAAAATCTCCAGAACCGTAAAGCCTACAAACATGAAATTTGCCACATATGTTCCTCTTGGCTTCTAGCTGCTCACTAAGAAAGGATTTTTCAAAACGACCATCAGAGCATTAGTATTTCCTATATTATTATTAATATGCTCTGATGCTAAGGAGTTCTACTCCCCCTCCTCACCTGAAAAGAAATATGTTCCAAATGCAAAACACAAGCAGAGGAGAGGAGTTTCAGTTTTACTTTCATAGCAGCAAGCAGGGGATATGATAGGGGAGGCTTCTGTGGGGCAAGGCTAAGGGAGAGAAGAGGATAGGATAGGGGAGGCTTCTGTGGGGCAAGCCTGAGGGAGAGAAGGGGGATAAGGTAGGATAGGCTTCTGTGGGGCAAGACTAAGGGGGAGAAGTGGGATAGGATAGGATAGGCTTCTGTGGAGCAAGGCTGAGGGAGAGAGGAGTGGCCGATCATAACTACTCATTCAATCGTAACAAAAATTTCATTTACTTAGAAAATTGAGAACTCTGTTATGAGCCGAAACGTTAGCAATACATCATCTAGGATGGTGCCTTTTTTTGTTTTAATTAAATAGTTGAATCTCCTGAAGTAGCCCAAACTTGTGAACCACAAAACTTCATGAGATTGGGGGGCATTAAATTTGGGATATCCACTCATCATAAGAAATTGCACTGTGTTGTCTGTTACCTAAAAAAGTTCTGAGCAATGCTACAGATAATCCCTAATTATTAATCCATAATTCCAATTACTGTATATACCAACCAATAAACTGAGAGATTTTGGTTCAAAAATGCACTCCCAAATTTGGTTTGGCTTATCCATGGATGGGTTTATCCCTGAGTATCTACAGTATATCATTTTTGTCTGCACTAGGCGGCTCACATTGCTAGAGGGCTCTATTGAGCTTTTTCCAACATCTCTCTAAATTGAAAACTAAGAGAACAGACATTGCTGACTGCATTTAGGATAGCATTAAGTGCTTGGTCCTGTGAAATGGTGAGGAATAACAGTAAAAATTCCATTCAAAGTATTTTAAAAAGTATTCTGTATGCTTTTCGTAGAACGAAGGTTGTTTCTCTAACCTTAGAGTACAAAAGAAGATGGATTCATAACTGCTCAGAAGACTCTGCTCAGAAGACTGCACACAATTATAATTAAGTAGAAAAAGAATGCCATTCTGCCTATAGTTTAAGAAGGCAATACAGCTCTGGACACATTCCTATATGCCAAGAGACAAAAAATAGTTTAATGGAAAGAAACTTACTTCCTATTGTAAGTAAGTTAGTGAGCCAAAGTTAGTAGATGAGTTTATAAATACATGAGTACATCTACAATGAAGTGAAAACAGTGAAAGTCAGAAGAGTTTAAAAAGTGTCAAAGCTGCTGTTTTGAGGAGGGCAAAGCCACCTAGTTCTTCGCAACTGGCTCAGGGATGAACGGGTTTTTTTCCAGCTTCTCAGATCTACCCAGGGAGGGCCTCCCAATAGGTCAATGGGGCGGAGACAGCAAACGGCCCCTCCCTTGGTTACCTGCTGCTTGTCTCAGGTTCAGCCTCTTCCTCTCCCTGTAACCTCCTGGGTGTTTATTAACTCCAGCTCAGGGAGACATTTAGCAGGGGAAAGAATGAAGTCTTTTGTATTGGGAGCAGCTTTTTGAATCCAGCTTCCTTCCACCACACCTTTTCACTAAGGCAGAGACTTCTCGCTCCGCCAGGTAACTTTCAGGTCTCGGCCTCTTCTGCTTCAGTGTAATAAGAACGCAGCAGTGAAGGTTTGTTCAATATGGGCTTCTGTTTTTATCATGTCTGTAGTTAGCAAGAACTAAGGATGTACACAGTTCTTTCTCCAACTGGTGTTGACACGCAAATGGGCAAATGTAGGTGTTCATTTTCCCCTTAATAACTAGTGGCATTGCAATATAGTAGGCCAGCTGTTGTAGTTAATACTAATATAAATGATACGGACTACCTTTCTGGAGGTAAGCCCACTGAATGCATGAAGGCTTAATTTTGCATCAGCATAAGTACAGAATGATGGGGCTGGCAATGTGATCAGGACAATTTCAGGATATAAAGCTGATTTTTACCAGTAGTTTCATTCATTATTTAAAAGGACTGCACTGTAAAAGGAACTATTAGGAAATAATTAATTAGTAATATTAAAAAGTCAATTAAAAGAATGGTGATAAAGGTGAAGATTAAGTGTAACTAAAATGGGTTTATTGTATCTTGATGTTTTAGAAGAATAGGGACATTTTGTGATGTAATTAAATGTAGAAACCGTCATAACAATGCTGTTTAGTAGTATAGTCAAGATATCAAAGACTAAGATGTGTGTAACTTAATCTAATAGCACTTTCAATGTTTTCATTTATAAGGCAACCAAATCAATTGATTGTAATATTGTTAACTTTTAAAAGCACCAAGATAAATAATAAATAGTTACAGAATGATTTGCATATTCGTCTATGGATCCTTGCATCTGCTGTCTGTTCTCTCTTGTTTTCCTTCCTTCCAGAAAATCCACTGCTACCTTGTCTTACCAGGCTTCCTTAGGCAAGACTCCATCATGTAGGTATGTCTTACCCAGCAGTCCCTGTTCTTTTGGCCCTAGGCAAGCTGAAGAATAGATTTTTCCACAGGAGACAGAATGTGTGAAGGGATACAGAAATTTTGAAGAACTGCATCTTGAAGGTCAGATGGGCTTAGTCAGAGTTGCTTTCAGATGGCTTTCCCTACCTGATAGCTGAAAATGCAGAGCAGCATCTCTTGATGCCTGCCAAGAGAACCTGCTTCATTCTTTACATCAAAACACTAATTTATTTAAAGACACTGTTGAGCAAAGCACCAATCTCTGGCAATGTTTTTAGTTCCGAAAATTCTCTGGAACCTAAAGGCCCTCAGAAGCTTCCTAGAAAATCAAGCCTAGTGCTGTGGGCTCTCTGCTTTTGCCAGGTGAATGTTCACTTGTTGATAGTGAGCTGAGCATCCTCAGTGGGTGTAATGTGGTAAAGAGCATTGTGGTAACCGGTTTATAGGCAGCCATCTTCTCTGAGTGGGAAAACTCACACCGTAGTCCTTTTTGCCAGTGCGCTTAGAAGTCTCAGGCCCCAAACACTGGAAAATCCTGTCTTTAGTTCAATGAAAAGCTAGGAAAGACCTTGTATTATGTTGGAGCTTTCCAGTGCTGCCACAGCCAACTGGAGTAATAATCATATGCAGTGCCATGCAGTCCTTTCCATTCTTGTTTTATCTTTACCATTGAGTGTTAAATTTCAGCTGGGGAAAGACAAATGTAAGAGTAGCAAATGAACTAAACTCTTCTTCCCCCTCTTTCCCTCTCCAAATTTCCCAATCAAGTGTCACTCTGCAAAAGAGCAATGCAGGGCTAAGGCAGGGAACATACAGCTCCTCCCTAGATTTCCTGCAATGGTTTGACCTGGGCTGATCCAAATATTTTGTTTTGGTAAAAAAAAAAAAAGTGCGATCCACAAGCACTTGTTGCAGTATTTTAGAGCTCTGCTAGAATCCATGGCTGAGAGCATTGCATTCCCCGCTTTCCCAAGAGCAATGCAAGAAATCCTGGGAATGCCACTGGGAGATGAGGTGTGGGGTGGGGGGGATTAGATAATCAACAAGCTTTGCTATGTATTTAGTCAGCAGTTGCACGACTGATTATTATTTTCATTTGTGTAAATGTGTGGAGGGGATCTACAGCACATAGGGTGGGGACAGGAAACCAAACCTCCCACTCTTTGATATAGTTTTTTTTATATCTACAGCCATTAATGGAATCTTTAAAGAAAACATCTCTAGGTCAATTTGAAAAACAAATGACTGGACTAAGAATTTAAGCTTCCTTCACCTGTATGTGATCATCATGATCAGGACCAGACTCACACAAGCTGCCATTAGCATAAACACAAATCAGAAAAGCAGCTGCACACTATGGAGTTATTATATCTTGCAGTTAGCCATCAGAATTTGCGCTGCTTTATTATCACTGCCAAAAATATCTGCTAGTGGAGTTAAATATTATCTCTGTTAGGATCAAAGTTTAAAGTACAATCCCCAGGCTTTGATGTTCAACAAAAATATTTTTAAGTCTTCAGATGAAAACAATAATAGTAAAAAAAAGGATTAACTATTTTAACATGTCATCTTATTCTAGCAACATTATTTCCTCCTTTTTAAAAAACTGTCCATATTGAAGAGTCTATGTAACCAGAAAGCAGGCAAATTATGTGAAAGTGGTTGGCATAACCAAAACACATGTATGCACACCTTAAAATAAAATTTTAATATTTGCAAATCCTGTATTTGAGTTTTATGGTATACTGTGGACAGGTTTTTTTATAAGAGCATGCTTTTCCCTCTTTTTCTATGTATGAATTTTATTCTACAGCTTCAAGTGGAGTTCATTATTTAGTATTTACTTAAGTTGTGCAATCAAGACCTTGCCTAAAGATATATTAAAATTGCTGGATATTTGGCTCAAAGTCTTATTCTAGGCAGCTCCCTTCTAGGCAAGGAGGTTCAAAAAAGCAAATTTATTTTTTCCCTTTTACTTTTGTTTCATTTTTACAGAAAAACATTTCTTCTTTGTGAAGAAATAAGCAATTAAAACTTTCTTCTGTCATGAAACAAGGAGCTGTGAGCATTCAAGTACCCAAATGGAAAGAAGGAGATGGTCTAACAAAATGATATTTTATATTAATATCAAGGGAAAAACACCTTTGCTGAACTTAAATTGGACCAGATCTAGTAGACAGTTTCTTGATTGTGGGAAAAGGTATTACTGTTGCATGATATAGCTATAGGCTGCGTCTTTGTGGGAACCTTTCTATGAATTCTACCTCATTCGGTTGAATGAGGAAAAATAATGCAGTTTGGTAAAGAGATTTCCAATGGAAGCAAGAAGTACACAGTAACATAAAGAAAATAGAACCTGAAATGTTTAAAGCTTTTTTTCACTGTTGCAGGCTTGAATTCCCCAAAGTCTTTTATATTTATTGATTACATACTCTTGGGATATAATTGCCTTTAATTATGTTGCATTTAGTACTGGTCTTGATTCTCCTGTAGTGATACTTAAATGGACTGTCGCACACTCATTTATTGTGAATTCTTTCTCCCTCCCCCCCAAAAGGAAGAAAGACAGAAATAGTTGTGAGCAGGGAAGATAGGACAGAAGGAGAAAAAGGACCCAAAAGCAGAAGCAGAAGTGCACACATTGCAACTTGCAGTGAAGAACAACGATGTTAAATATGCTTCCTGTTCCTGTATTAGTGCTCAGCAACTTGGAACTGCCTGTTTGCCTCAGTTCTTTTTGCCCATACCTACCAACACGGACTGATCATGGAGCAGTCTATGAATGTGTGATGGGCAGCAGACACGCATAAGGTAGATGGGTAGAGTCAAAAAAGGAGAATTCACATCTGGAAAGTCTGATTGAGACATCAAACACTCATTTGCTTTTATTCTCGTTGTAAAAGAAACGTCTTCAGTTAATTTTTCAATTGTTTTCTTAACTGGATTTTTTGATTCTGCCACTGGTCACCTGGGAAATAATGAGGTAAGGAAAAATTTAGGATTGACTATTACAGGTTAATGTTTTCTTTCTAAGCAGGTCTTGAAACTTTTCCTTGAACTGGGAGGGACAATTTCTCTGGGAGCATGTGTGTGATACATAAGAGACAGTATAGGAGACAGTTGCTGGAACAGATCATTGTGTTGCCTCTGGCTGTATGGATTTGGGAGTAGAGGCTACGTCTTCAAGCATCACTGCCTAACTAGCAACTGCTGCTGAATCTTTAGGATCTAGCAGAAATGTAGCAAGTAGAGCTTCTTCTACTACTTGTTATTAGTGGAGGAACAGCTTCACTAGCTACAGATGTGTTTCCCTTCTGCTCAGTTAGAAAGTTGATGACCCTGTCTCTCTCCATAGAGATGATTTGATTACTTGCCACTATATTTTATGGCTGTTTTTATTGTTTTCATGTCTTTTAAATTGTTGAAATTGTTTTAGAATTTTAGAATTGTAAGCTGTCTGGAGTCATTTGGTTGAATTGGGCAGCTATAGAAATTGAATGAATAAATAATTTAATAAACAAACAAACAATGCTTAATGGCCAAGCATTGAACGTGCAAACTGACTGCATCTGAAAGCGCTGTGTTCCAGATGAACTGAAGGGTCAGTCTACTTTGGTTGATCTGTACTGGTTGAGTCTCATTTATTTGTTGTTAATTCTAAATTATGAACATTCTAGTGGGAGTCAGTGCTGTTGGGGCAGGGGAGAGAGGGAAGGAAAACCAATGTCTACTTTCTGAATTGTGGTAGAGAGGGGAGGCATCTGTCTTATGAGCTCTATGTAGGATCACACCTACACAGTATACCCCGTATCCCTCCACTTATGATGTCCTTCTTTTTTACTTTTCTCTCTTCCTTCCACCAAGCAGGTGGTTTCATCGTGACCTGAGTGGCATAGATGCTGAGGCCTTACTCAAAGCACGAGGAATTCATGGCAGCTTTCTGGCTCGGCCCAGCCGGAAGAACAAGGGGGACTTTTCCCTTTCGGTCAGGTAATTGCCCCCCTCCCTTTTCCAATCCTTTGATAATATTCTATTGTTCCCCTTGAGACACACATTATCTTCCACCTTTTCAATCTTTATTCTCTAAAAGTATACCATGTCGGTATATACCGAAATATTTTCCCCTCTGTAATAAATGGAGGCCATATCATAATAAGATGGTTCCCATGGTTAATCGTTAAAAGTCTATGGGAGAGGGCTGCTATGATTCATTTAAATGAATAATAATAAATAATATCTAGAAAATCCCAAGACACATTGGAATTGAAGGCCAGAGTGGAAAAAGAAAAGGAGGAATAGAGAGACTGCAAGTGAAGATGGCTGTTGTGAAACTTATAACTTTCCACAAACTTGAAGTTGAATTCTTTTTCTGGGTTTTTTCCCAAAGCCTTTTGTCTTTTTTGAGGGGCTGGGGGGGTGGAGTTGGAAGAGAGACTTGGTGGTAAATTCAAAGACTAAGTCTCCCTACAACTTTCTCTGAAATAAATCTGCTGATGGCATAATACTGACTTTTCTGGGAACAGACCTCCAAACAAAACAAGTAGCTCCCTAGGCTAGTGGTACAGTACTCTTTTAAAAAAATGTCCATGGTTTGGGGAAGTCATCAGACATTGGAACAGAAAGACTGGGTTCAAGCCTTCCCACAGGGACTTCCTTCCACAGCTTCTGACTCCCATGTTAATTTTCAACTGGCCTCCATTTAAGTAAAGCAACTTCATTTCTTCCTTTCTTTCAAATTGGAATTTCCACTAACTTGCGTATTAATCTTATACAATAAACCATCCTCTGAATAATAAGTCCTGCTTAAACATTTTGAAGTAAGTAACAATATCAGTGCCACTTCTAATGCCATTACATCTGCCTGTCTTAACATAGAAAGCATGAAAAATCAGGTGAATTGACAGCTGAGGAAATGCCACGGGGAGCCAAATGTACTATCTTTTTAGCTAGCTTTCTGCAAAATTCAGTCTTATTTATTTATTTGAGAGATAAATATGGCCACCCTTCTTATGTGTCACAATTCCTGCGGCTTACAAAAACAGAAGTAAAAACTGAAGAAAGTCAATACCCTCCCCTCTTCAAATAAAAACAACCTCAAATCCCAGCATCCTAAACTCCATGGTACAAATACAATCACTGGTTCCAGCTTCATTCTAATCCTAATTCTCCAGTTTGAATAAAAGACTTATATTCAATTCATATGTTGTGGGGTGGATGATAATCTCTGGTGAGAGCAAACACCAAGTAATCCATCCAATTCCTCGAGATCCCTTATTTCAGTCTAGAATTCCTACCAGGAGAAATAGTGAAGATAATTTCTCTTTTGCTCTTCCCTTTCTGATCATCTGATGAGAAGCTTCTGCCTCTCTCTTTTAGGGTTGGTGATGAGGTAACTCACATCCGTATCCAGAATACTGGAGATTATTATGATCTCTATGGAGGAGAGAAATTTGCTACTTTATCAGAATTGGTGGAATATTATACACAGCAGCAGGGATCCCTGCAAGATAAAGATGGAACCATCATTGACTTGAGGTACCCACTCAACTGCTCTGATCCCACAACAGAAAGGTATGAGGAAAGCACACCTGCTTCTACCTATAGCTGAATACCCATCTTGACATTCCTTTCCACATTGAGTCTCAGTTGAGGGGTGCTCACACTTTATATTTATGTCTTTTATCATTTGTACATATATATCTCTGCTGTGGATCTATATACCGTAGATATAATCGTGCATTATGTGTAATTATTGTCTGAATAGTTATCTAGGAGGGATGGTGAATGCTGCAGTGTGTGGGGACTGGACTTGATCTCTTAGGTTCCTTCCATGATTCCTTAGATCCTATAGGGTTTTCTGGATGATAGTCTAAATGCTTTTGACTCTACAAAGATTCATTTATCTGAAGCACATGAAAGAACATTGTGTTACTCCAAAATTTGTATGACGAGCAAGCCCTTATTGGTCTAAAATACTTTTATTCTCTATATTTATACTTAAAAAGAACACAAAGCAGGTAAGAATATAATTAAAAAGTGTTAAAAATTCTGCCAACATTTAAGATCATGAAAAGAACTAACATCTACATCTCAGCTTGAATGAGACCTTCTTAGGGAGGTCTTTCTCAGACAAGATGTTAAATAAAGCCAAACACTCTGGCTGTGTATGCACACACATGTATGCATCCCCTATTCTAGTCATGCATTTGCCTTTTAGTTGAAAAGTTTAATGGACTCCAGGAAGAGGTGGCAGATATTTACAAGGCCATATCAAGTTGTACCTAGTACTGTCCTGAGACTCCTGAGAAGAAAAAGCAATCATTTATTGCATAGTTTGAAATATAGAGATATTCAGTTTTTGGATTGAAAGATTTTAAGCCTAAGCATATGGTGAATCTTGCAAGAATGGGTCACTTAAATATTGCTCATAAAATAATTGCTGCTTCTCTATGCAGAAATAACCCCTGGTGCATATTCAGTAGGGAATGCATAGCACTGAACTGTCTGGAAAAGTTACTACGTCTGCATAAGCCATTATGCATACAAATAGTGCAGAGATTCTTTTTAAAAAAATTTAAACGTACCTGCAAAAAACAGCTTCAGGAAGTGAAATTCTAAATAAAAATTAAAAATATAAAAATAATAAAGAAGAAATGCTAATGAGAATTTTAAAGATACTGGAAATGGTTGATTTATTAAAAGGAAAGAAAAAGGAAGAAATTAGTATGAACTAACAGGGCAATTTAAGGGAATTCTCAAAAGGAAAAGAAGAAAAGAGACATGGAGTCCCAAAAAGTAATTAGCCCTATGTGGGCAATCAGGGCCTCTTATTCCTGGCTTTTGTTGCCATACAGTTGTGGGATGCTGAGCCAAAAGGTTGTCTAAAATTTTCTCTGATACTGTCATCTTTGGCTGCAGCTATTTTTCTTCATTTTCCATATAACTCTACTCTCCCTCATTATTAATGACTCTGGATCTGTTCTGGAAGCTTCCACAATCTGAAAAAGGTCTATGTCCCAGTTATCCAGCAACAGATTATACTTTAAATAATATATATCCATATCCATCAGGGCATACCACTGTGCGTTCATTTCAGTCACACCTACAAATGAACTGCACCATTGCTTAAGTAGAAAACCTCTTCAGGCCCTCTTACAAACAGGATGGTTTTATTCATGTAGGGAGGAGTCCTAGTCCAGTATGCTTTCCCTGGTCTTCCTTGTGGACTTCTGTGGGGCAGGACTTCTCTCAGTGCCTGCTTTTTGTCCATGTCAGGAGGGCTCGGGAAAATCAAGATATTCACTCAAGTGGAAAGACTCCACAGATCCTGAGTATTTCTGAATGGAGGTACAGTGTAGTTCCTTTTCATAACACCTGAAAAAAGCTAACCTTTATTTAGAAGTATATAAATAAATGTGTCCTATATCAGGGGTCTCCAACCTTGGCAATTTTAAGACTTGTGGACTTCAACTCCCAGAATTCCTCAACCAGTAAAGCTGGCTGAGGAATTCTGGGAGTTGAAGTCCACAAGTCTTAAAATTGCCAAGGTTGGAGACCCCTGAGACCTATATAATGTATGCTTATATGTCCTTTCTTCTTTTAGTATAGGATCTAATGAATGATTAACTTTCCTCTCAGCATTGTTCCCCTTTTACTTTTCAAGCTTTCTTAAACTGAGAGATTCCCTAAGACAGTAGGTTATAGAGCACATACTACATTTTGTCATGTGATGAAGTTTCAATTTTGATGTGACTTATATTTAGAAACCAGGTTTCTTTTGTTTCACTGATTTGTTATTTTTGGCACATTGTTAAGATGCAAAGATTGTGGTGTCGATAAGAAGCAGGTAATCAAGCAAATCATTTGTCCAGGGTCAAACTTTTTATTTTCGCAGGTTTATTTCATGTTTCTTCTTTTGTTGCATGCTTGTAAGCCTTATGATGGCATAACTTTTGTGGAAATGTGTTTGTCATTATGATGCCCTATGACTCTTTGTTTTCTTACTGCCACTCATCTGGAAATTGTATTAAAATGGGCGGCTTTTGTTCATGTTGGTCATGGACAGTTCCAGCCCTGTGATTCTGTGTTCTATGGTATGTTAAGCCATTCATGAGACAGAGCTGGGTTTGTCCTGTTCCAGAGCAAACTGCTGTTCCCTTGAAAAGAATCAGTCTATTTATCCTCTCTAGGTCTCTGCGTGCAGGCCTGCTCACATCCAAAGGCAGCAGTTGGCCAGGGAGCCTGCTGCTTCCTCCCTTGCGGTTGGAAAGTTCTGTCCTCCAGGCTCTTACGAAAACTCAGCCTCCCTCCCCACCAACCACCCAAGATTTTCCATCACGTGGCTTCCCCTCAGCTTGGTCCACTGAGCTTAACTCTTTCCTCTCTGAGAGGGAAAGAGGCTCACTTAGCAAATGATAGCTTTGTTCATTTGCCACCCAGCCGTCCTAAATTTTGGAACATCTTTTGGAATGGAGGTAGTTGTCAAAATATACCTTCCATTTTCCCTCCTCATTGCTGGTTGAGGTTGCTGGGACATGTAGTTTAGCCTCTTCTGCAAGAGCACAGATTCCCTCCTCTTATTTTAAAGAAAAGATTCTAAAACAAAAGCAGTGTGATCTCTAAAATTAACTAATCACTAATAAAAACTTTAGTGATTGCATTTATTGTATTATTCTCTTCAACAAAATTTATTTAATTTGACCCTAATCAGGCGTACATGAACTACAGACCAGTGAGTTGAATGTGTAGCTTGATGAGTGCATTAAATGACCATTTATCAAACTCTGGTTAGGCTACCAGGGTTATTAATAAATCTATAAAGGATTGATCTAATCTGTCAATCTGCTAATGATATGATTTTCTTATAATAGCATAATTTGAGAGCCAGTTTGGTTTAGTGGGGAAAATAAGAGGAGGAAGGTATGTTGGATATGTTCACCAACCTGAGTTATTTGTAAAATAATAAAGGCAGAATACAAACAAATGAAGAACAAATACGTAAATAGGCAGGCTATGAGGAACTATTCTCTTAATACTTAATACTTAATACTATAGATACCTATAATATATAAGAATACACTCCATCTCCTAACTGTAGAAGTGAAAAATTTAAACAATATGATAATCACTGACTTGCTCTACTGTTTCTTTGGAAAGTTAATTAAAATAATGGATGTAAACTCAAAATGTTAATTGTAAATCTCCACCCATAACAATTACTTTTTCCTCAGAAAGTGGCAAACATTACAATGTGACTCTAGTTTGTCATATTCCAGTAGTTTAAGCTAGTAAACATAACCTCTCTGAGAACCTCTCCCAATTTCATGACTCCTGCATTTTGCCTTGGCTCAGATTGTTTTGCTTCCTGCTCTGATCCAGCCCAAGGACTCTGTATTTAGAAATCAAAACTGATTTCATCATTGTATAAGAATCATGCCAGAATAAAATAGCAGCCATTAAAATGCTGTAGCTTACATAAATGCTGTTACTCATATCATACTGCAGCTTAGTGATATCAGCTGAAAATATTCAAAACTACTAACAAAAATAATTCAAAGCAGCATTTAAAAATAAACCTGTTCCTTAAAACCAATATTAAACATAACATATGCAGCAGCTGAACCCGAGTCCAGAAAAGTTGGACTCAGAATCAATTAGAAAATGATCTAAATAAAACTGGATGACACTGTGACGTTAAGAACCAGAGGAAGTCTTCTGCAGTAGAAGTGAGCAGTTATCAAGAAGATTCACTTTGAATGGATATCAGACTAGCTTGAATAGAAGCTTTCCAGCTTTTTATACAGAATAGGCAGAGCTTTTCAGGAACAGCTAATCTTTAAGTAAATTGAAGGTTGCTTAGTACCTTTGACGATATACATAAGCAAACTGGTAATCAATATGTCATGAATAAGAGCAGTTATAAAGTCCTGATCTTTTAGAGCCTGTAAAATTGTAGATGTCATATTGTGGACTGACTGAAGCATCTCGAGCCTTTCCAGGTCAACATGCTGCAGAAATGACCACAGTTGGGATAACAGTTTAAGAACAGTATTTAACTATGTCTTTATTTATAGATTTCAACATTTCTTATAGTGTCTTTGAAAAGAGTGGAATAATTGCATGATAATAATAACAACAACAATATAATTTAAACTGGGGAGCAGTTACTTTAGAACAATCAAGAAAGTATATTGAAATCTGTTTTTCATTCTCTATTGTAATAATACACCACAACTAAAAGATTAAAAGCAAATGTTTCATTAGTATATTTGATATCTAATTAATCAAGATATGTGTTGGCAGTTGACAAATTACTTTGTAAAATGCATTGTGCAATTTAAAAATTAATGATGTAAGATTCTCTTACGCAAATTGAGAATAAGACACACAATACGTGAAATAGGCCTTATTTGATAGGTCATATAAAATAGTACCTCTCTAGCACAACAAGTGCAATTGCTGAAGTAAAAATATGCTCCATGTATAAGATAAAGAAAGGGATCTTAATATAGAGAATTAGACAATTAGCAATTAGACAAATGAGACTGCCCCATTACTCTTGTGAGTTCCAC